AGCCCCCGCAGCACCCCCCTTCCCGCGCTACTGATTTTGCGTCATCGGAGGATTTTTTGGCCAGAGGCTAAAGACTACAGTCAGTAGTAGGGGCTGTCCCGCATGTTCTCACCCCGCCCATAGAGGGTGGGATCTCACTCACAGAATGTACACATAGTGTCAGACATCTTTTTTTGGAAGCTAAGCTAGCAGGCTCTTGTTCTGTGGAGAAAGCTGAGTAGTAGGGGTTACCATCCTCTTTTTCCCGGACATGTCCGGCCGTCGATGTCCGGGATTCAGCTTTTGCTTTCTGCAGTCGCCATTCATTGTTTACATGCACACCTTTTGTTTCAATCTAACTGAATTCATTCCGATTGGTGAATCTGAATGTAGTGTTTACATGAACGCTAAACAAGTGATCGGTTGATGTGCGTTTTAACATTGCTAAGAAAATTCCCGCTCCTCCGTGAGAGATACGAGACCGATGCGTCTCACAGGTGTCGCTCATCGGTAATCACGCCACCGGCCTCGCGCCGTTCTCCCGCGGCCCTTACTCGTCCTGCTCGCCACAGTAAACATGACTCGTGTCGTTCTCCCGCGGCCCTCACTCGTCCTGCTCGCCACAGTAAACATGACTCGAGCCGTTCTCCCGCGGCCCTCACTCGTCCTGCTCGCCACAGTAAACATGACTCGTGTCGTTCTCCTGCGGCCCTCACTCGTCCTGCTCGCCACAGTAAACATGACTCGTGTCGTTCTCCCGCGGCCCTCACTCGTCCTGCTCGCCACAGTAAACATGACTCGCGTCGTTCTCCCGCGGCCCTGACTCGTCCTGCTCGCCACAGTAAACATGACTCGTGTCGTTCTCCCGCGGCCCTCACTCGTCCTGCTCGCCACAGTAAACATGACTCGTGTCGTTCTCCCGCGGCCCTCACTCGTCCTGCTCGCCACAGTAAACATGACTCGTGTCGTTCTCCCGCGGCCCTGACTCGTCCTGCTCGCCACAGTAAACATGACTCGTGTCGTTCTCCCGCGGCCCTCACTCGTCCTGCTCGCCACAGTAAACATGACTCGTGTCGTTCTCCCGCGGCCCTCACTCGTCCTGCTCGCCACAGTAAACATGACTCGCGCCGTTCTCCCGCGGCCCTCACTCGTCCTGCTCGCCACAGTAAACATGACTCGTGTCGTTCTCCCGCGGCCCTGACTCGTCCTGCTCGCCACAGTAAACATGACTCGTGTCGTTCTCCCGCGGCCCTCACTCGTCCTGCTCGCCACAGTAAACATGACTCGTGTCGTTCTCCCGCGGCCCTCACTCGTCCTGCTCGCCACAGTAAACATGACTCGTGTCGTTCTCCCGTGGCCCTCACTCGTCCTGCTCGCCACAGTAAACATGACTCGTGTCGTTCTCCCGCGGCCCTCACTCGTCCTGCTCGCCACAGTAAACATGACTCGCGCCGTTCTCCCGCGGCCCTCACTCGTCCTGCTCGCCACAGTAAACATGACTCGTGTCCTTCTCCCGCGGCCCTCACTCGTCCTGCTCGCCACAGTAAACATGACTCGCGCCGTTCTCCCGCGGCCCTGACTCGTCCTGCTCGCCACAGTAAACATGACTCGTGTCGTTCTCCCGCGGCCCTGACTCGTCCTGCTCGTCACAGTAAACATGACTCGTGTCGTTCTCCCGCGGCCCTGACTCGTCCTGCTCGCCACAGTAAACATGACTCGCGCCGTTCTCCCGCGGCCCTCACTCGTCCTGCTCGCCACAGTAAACATGACTCGTGTCGTTCTCCCGCGGCCCTGACTCGTCCTGCTCGCCACAGTAAACATGACTCGTGTCGTTCTCCCGCGGCCCTCACTCGTCCTGCTCGCCACAGTAAACATGACTCGCGCCGTTCTCCCGCGGCCCTCACTCGTCCTGCTCGCCACAGTAAACATGACTCGTGTCGTTCTCCCGCGGCCCTGACTCGTCCTGCTCGCCACAGTAAACATGACTCGTGTCGTTCTCCCGCGGCCCTCACTCGTCCTGCTCGCCACAGTAAACATGACTCGCGCCGTTCTCCCGCGGCCCTCACTCGTCCTGCTCGCCACAGTAAACATGACTCGTGTCCTTCTCCCGCGGCCCTCACTCGTCCTGCTCGCCACAGTAAACATGACTCGCGCCGTTCTCCCGCGGCCCTGACTCGTCCTGCTCGCCACAGTAAACATGACTCGTGTCGTTCTCCCGCGGCCCTGACTCGTCCTGCTCGTCACAGTAAACATGACTCGTGTCGTTCTCCCGCGGCCCTGACTCGTCCTGCTCGCCACAGTAAACATGACTCGCGCCGTTCTCCCGCGGCCCTCACTCGTCCTGCTCGCCACAGTAAACATGACTCGTGTCGTTCTCCCGCGGCCCTGACTCGTCCTGCTCGCCACAGTAAACATGACTCGTGTCGTTCTCCCGCGGCCCTCACTCGTCCTGCTCGCCACAGTAAACATGACTCGCGCCGTTCTCCCGCGGCCCTCACTCGTCCTGCTCGCCACAGTAAACATGACTCGTGTCGTTCTCCCGCGGCCCTGACTCGTCCTGCTCGCCACAGTAAACATGACTCGTGTCGTTCTCCCGCGGCCCTCACTCGTCCTGCTCGCCACAGTAAACATGACTCGCGCCGTTCCCCCGCGGCCCTCACTCGTCCTGCTCGCCACAGTTAACACGATGAACGGCGACTGTAGAACGCAAAAGCCGAATCCCGGACATTTTGGGCGATCTCGAAACACATTTTCGGGCAGACTCACCACGGAGACTCACTAGTAGCCTAGACTTGTTGTTTAACTACTGCGCTCTGTTACCGGTTGGCGTGGCCTCCTAGGGCAGCGAAGCAAGTGCATTCTGGGAGTTGTTGTCTTTCATCCACATAAGCCAAAAATACATTTTCTGGCTTTTCTCAGTCTAGAAAGCTCCAAATTCAAAAATAATTTCACATTTCTTCTACATAAATGACCCATTTTAAATACACATTCATCTTTCCAGAGGTGAAGTATCCCTTTAATTGATATCCAAATTGTCAATACAATATACAACACAGTCAATATATAACACATTATGAAAAAATACAAGATTCATATTTTGACAGTCCTAAATTTTTTATTTATGTTAAAAATATGATCTTTTCTCGTAGATTTAACAAAATAGCATCAAAACTTGATTGTGATCGATTCTTGAATAACCGTGCATCACCACTGATCCACTTTCCATAGGTCAGTGTTTGTCTGAAAACTTCTACACGCGACAGGACGGAACCTGTGTGTATTTCTTCACAAAAGGTAGAACCATTTCAGCAGATTTTTTGAATTTGTTGAATTCCTTACATATTATTTTAGTATTCCGTGCACCTTTGGCTCGCATAAACACCTATTCATGCTGAATGTCTTGATCTCTACAGATGAGGTTCATCATTTGTTTTCTAATGCTGGTTTGGAGGAGATTCAGAATTTGGAAGACAGAAGACTGCAGGTAAACAGAGGAAAGAAGGTGGTAATGCACAGAGTGTGGATGCAAAGCAAATACCGGAAGCCTTATCTGATTTCAGCATCAGTCTAGCACACTGTGCTCTACACAAATGCAGCTACTGAAAGACTTATCAAGATTTTAAAGGACATTACCTTTGTGACAGACCTCAACTATAGTAAATGATGGAGATGACACTAGAAAAACATCCAAAAAACAATCCTTATGTTTCTTTTAACTTCTGATGTGCCACTATTGTCCTTTGTCAATAGCTTACATTCTGTAATGAATGCATTGTCTTTGCATTATTAGATATTTGAGTGAATTGTCGTTACGAGTTCTGAAAGTCTGAAAGACCATTTTACCATTGCATGTCATCAAAAAATAATATGGTTTAAGTTAAAAGATGTTTGATTTTTCAATCAAGAATATTGTCTACTGCTACGCTGTTTTACTATTATTATAACAAACTGTTAATTCTCATTGAAGGGCCATTCATTTTACTTGTTCTTTAAACATGTATTTGCTCAGGCTTTTAATAGAATTGTTTGAGATGTACATTGAATGTTATTGTTTTATATGTTTGTGATGGCAAATTGGTTTCCAAAGAAATAAATTTGATTTAAAAAATGTTTATTTGATATTTATTTCACAGATTTGCTTCACAGTTATTATAATTATAATATGTATAAGTATATAATGTCAGTAGGCCTATACATTTATTGCATGTACAAATTTCATTGCATGATATCCCATGTACTTTCGTTTTTACCTTATACACTGATTTGAAGCGAATCTATGTCATGGGTTGATATTTATAGCCATCTGCACTGCCTGGCCAAAAAAAAAAGTCGCTGTTTCGATTTGAATAGGCAAATGCTTAAGAGTGGAAATAAATGTTGTGATGTTATTTCCATCAAGAGGTGCATACATTTTTGGTCAAGATCTTGTATTAACAATATAAGAGTCCAGCACTCTGTAAAGTCTCCTCCAGCACATCTCAAGGACTTTCAATGAATTTAACGTGCCAATTCATGTGTGAAAATGATTCTTCATGCTCCTCCCAACTATTCTTTCACAGTTTGAGCCTGATGAATCTTGACATTGTTATTCTGGAATATGGCCATGGTTGTTTAAGAAATGAAAAGCTACAAACTCCATCAATTAGGGTTAGAAGAACTGTTGCCAATCATATAACATGCTAGAAATATAATAACCACTGCAATAATGATCCAATCATAGACTTTTAAGCATCTGCCTATTTAAATCCAAACAACGACTTTTTTGGCCGGGCAGTGTATTTACACCACAGACATAAGCATGTGTGTGATGGATATGATGTTTAGACCGATGGGACAGTAATTTCTAAGTGGCCCCCAAGTCTCTCCCCCCAGCTAATTTCCATGGGATGAGTGTCAAGTATCGCGATAGTGTTTGGGAAGAGAGAGAGAGAGAGCAGCTTCATGTCTTCATTTCATCTTGATCCTCTTCAGTAGCAGCAGGCGCTTCCAGACGCACTGCAGAGGGCGATGAAGGTTTGTGTGTCTGTCCCAAGTGTTGACAGCCCCTCCTCCCCCCGATGAAAAAAAAAACACACCATCATTCACTTAACCTCCTACATTTTGTCTGATGTGTTTTGCGTGGACAACTGATTGGTGTTTTGCTCTATGATTCTCTAAAAGTGGCTCGATGAGTGCGCAAAGTAACAGTGGAAGTTTGGAGGGGACGCCATCTTGGCTCCAGCAGCAGCTGCAGCGGCTCTCGAGCGCGTCCCCGGCGCCGCTTCCACACACACTCGGCGCGCCGCTCGCACCAGCCAAAGAAGGTAAAGTGTGCTTGTTTTATTCTCAGAAGTTTCTAGTTTTGGATAGTAGAAGGGCTTTGGTTGAATGTTCCGTTTGTGGAGTTAAAATTAGCTTACAATTACTCGACCGACTTGGCTTATGAGTTACAGGATGAGGTTAGCAGCCTGCGGTTGGGTTAGCTTTTTAGCTGGACAGCATTCTTGCTAATTAGCTAGGGCGGTATTGGCTGACAAGCATTTTAGCTCCTTAGCATGCTAGCGTGTTGGTTTCTTGGCTAGTTAGCCGCCTAGCTTGTGCTGTCAAAATGAATTGTGTAAAGTGGCCTCTGACTGGCTAACTAGCATTTAGCTTCTTAGCTGGTTAGCATGTTAGCCTCATAGAGTTGAGACGAGCGCTTTAGCATCTTAGCTCTTGGCTAATTAACTTAGCATCATAAGCTCATACTGTACTACAGTGCAACTGCTCGGAATGAGCTCCAGCAAGTCAAAATAAGAAATAACAAAAACCGTCAACTGGTAATTCACTGTTTTAGAACTTGTATCCGTTATGATATTTGGCAATATGATATCGCATTTTAAGATTACACTGTAAACTGCCGATTTTGAGGTTATATTTGAGGTTTTAGTGAGCAGGAGTGAGACTTGGAGACTCTGGTTCATGATGGCAAACAGGGTCGCGCATATGGAGCAAATAGATTTGTTTTGTTTTCTACCCTGCCTTTTATTAACTTTTTTTCTTAAGTCACAATTGTTTTTGGAAGTTACTTTTTTTTTTCAGTGTATGTTTCTATGCATACGTGTACTAAATCACATTTAATGTATCACCAATACAGAGTTACTCTTAACAGTTTGGGCTTGGTCTTGCTGTAATGGCTGCAAGTTTTAGCATTGTGCCTTTTTTAAGGTGTTGTCCACTTCCACACATATGGCATTTAGGATATTATTGGAGTTGTTGGCCAGTTGTCAAGTTGTGTCAGTCTGCACAGCTGACCTTTCATCCTGTCACTGAGCATTGCATCCTAATACTAATGTGTTTGTCTGTCAGCAGACCTCAATGAGATCATTTCACTGTACTCTTTCCATGCTGTTGCTTTTGCATGTGTTGTTTTCATTGCAAAGAGACTAAAGAGTGATATTCCCCCGGGGAGATGTTTAGGTGAGAAACTCTCAAGAGCTGTTTAACTGCAAGAATTGATATTGTGAACAAGCATTGGTGTAGCAATGCAAATATAAATTATACAAGTTTTCAATAATCACTCAACACATTTTATATATATATATATATATATATATATATATATATATATATATATATATATATATGGTGAAATAAAGTGATGGCATAAAACCCAAAGTAGGTGTTTTTAATTGACAGCATAAGTATGTGTCAGAAACAGGTGGACACTGACTGTGCCTGTGAAGAGCAGAAAGCTAAAATGACATCCCTGCATTGTAAGGGTTCACCCGGGTGCTTGTGCAGGGGCCTGAGAGCAGGAGACCCGTGCAGAATGTCAAGGAAATGATGCCTCTTCACCAGAGAGTGCAAAAAGGACAAAGAGCAAGAGGCAGTATTGAGGATTAACCACTAGGCTAAATGCTTTACTTTTACATGGTTTTTGTGTTTGAATTATGTTGTCTGTCATTACTTTCTGTCTAAGATGTGGAAATGTAATTTAATTTATCAAGCCTGGGCGATGCTATTAAGCTGCATCTGTTTACTGTAGCTGTATCTCCCAGATGTGTTGTTTTTGAAGTATAAATCGATTATTTAGCACTCTTGAAACACATCCACTGAGTCGGAGGCTGCCCAAAATAGCCTCACCTTCTCCCGTCTGCCACCATTACGAACTCTAATGATAAACCTCCCCTGCAGTCCTGTTTATGTCCTGGCCTGATAACACCACTGATCTTTGCACTGCCATTTTGTGTCAGTGGGAATGTGCTGGGCATCCATGTTGGCTCTTGGCCCTCCAGAGAGAGAGGGATAAGCCTGGTTAAAGACTGCAGCCAGAGAGAGTTTCATACAGTAGTTTCTGCTACAGAGAACTCCTCGCTTCCTAATGCTGTTGTATCAGTCCTGTTCACAGCATGACACTACACAATACATGTTTTACTGTAACACACCGCTGAAATGTCTAATATCTAATAGTGGTCAAGTAGGGCTGGGCGATATAACGATAATTATCGTCGCTATATAATTTTCCTCAATAAAACGATAACAAGAGTTTGATAAGTGTTCAATATAGGGGTGGACGATATGGCCAAAATATATATTGCGATATATTTCTTAATTTCGGCCGATACAATATAATTGCGATATCGCTATGAACAATATAAAAGCCTCAGAAAAAACTGCTAAGAACGCCCACAACGGATGTCTGTACCTACAAACTTCTGAAAAACTAATTTATGAAATCTCCTCCTATAAAACTATATAGTATTTTAGAAATAAAAATGGTACAAATAAATTAATGTTTTATTTGTATTTAGCCTTCATACAAACAAGAAATGTGAAATCACTGTCAAATAAACATAAGACTCTCAACTTATTAATATCTTTAGGCTAACTTTAAAGTATAGGCTGATTAGTATTCTTATAGCCTAGATTGAAACAAAAGTCCTTCAGCCAGGATAAAGAATATGAAAAGTGCTCAGTTGCTGCAGAAAGCAGAAAAAAAGAGTGAGCAACAACACAAACGCATGTTGATGACACCCTGAATTCATTTCGATTGATGAATCTGAATGTTGTGTTTACATGAACGCTAAACAAGTGATCGGGTTGATGTGCACATTTATGTGTCACAAGCTTTAAATCGGGATAGATTTTTTGACATGCGCAGTTGCGCACACTGCACAAATATAGAGGTTCCTGCTGTTTGCGCAAAATAACCATTCTCCTACATTGCTTCTTTATTTGGAGACAATGGGTCTCATTCATGAAACACGAGCAAAACGAATTTTTGTGTAAATCGTGTGTAAAGTGGTTCTGGCGTAAATTTTCAGATTCATTAAAATGTTCGTATATTCCAAATGTTAGTTGGTACGAAAGAAATCTACACCTGCTCCCAGCCACGCGTAAATAGTGAGTTTAACATCCGAACGCTCATTAATAACTAAGGCTGCATTTTAATTCACCTTAATCTGGTACATATTTACACAGCATTTTGAAAAAATATTATATATAGTAATTACATATGGTTTTTCTTTTTACTTCTGGGACTGTTTGATTAACAGATGAAACTCCTAGGGCTTTCAACTTTAGTCGTTTAGTCGACTAATCGGTCATGCCGTCTTGGTCGACTGACATTCTTATTGGTCGACCGGTTTTGATTGTTTTTTTTTTGTTTTTTTTTTTACCAATAGAAAGAAATTTTCAATGATTTACTCATTGATTTGTATTCCTTTATAAGCAGTTATATATTACTGTATTCTAAATATAATTAGCCTATGGTTTATCCCCAACTTTAAATGCTTTAATTTAGGCTATTTTGTAACAGCGCCACAGTTTAGCGCACACACATAGAACACTCGGTGGCTGGCTGGGCTGCTGCTTCGTGCTCACTAAGGGATATAGGTAGTTTAGCTGTATTCGTTCAGTTAGAACGCTACTTGTTTTGGTTTTTATACACTATATGTTTTTATCTCGATGCGGCGTGGACGCACTCGGAAAAAAAAGAGCGCGTTGCACCGCGACCGCGTTGCTTCCATCATGAGCGTGCACACCGCGCGCCTACATTTGAAATTGAACTTGAGCGCGCAAAAGACGTGAGCAGTCCCTTTAACGGCTTTATCATGCTGACTCAATAGATTGTGTTTTCTTGATATGTTTTTGTTTTTATTTGTACACTTGAAGTATTTGAAAATAGCCTAAATAATGTAACAAAACGAAAATAAACCTATATGCGGTCCTACAATACAGCCTATTATTATTAGGATTGTTTTTTTTAGGCTCTCTGGGTTTTTGTGTGTTTGTTTTAAAACGCCTAGATCGGCTGGACAAAAGTTAACCCATAGCTTTGAAAGTAAAGAAGAATATACAGCCTGTATAAACGAGAGCTTTTGTAAGGATGTTTCATTATGTGGCAGATAGCAGTTATATTTTTTGTAGCGTGTGGTGTGGTCAGGTGCGCGATTATGACTGTTACTATAGACCTAGGACAGCATGCTCCTCACTTTTTGCAGTAAAAAAAAATCACTTAATTTTCAAAGAATTGTATTATTATTATTATAGTTTTATGTATTTTTGATGTTTTTTCGTTGTTGTTTTATAAATGCTCTATGACAATTGTTAAAAAAATGTTCAATCAAAATTTTGCGTCTTTTTTTTTTTTTTTTTAGTCGACTAATCGTTGCGCAGGACAAGACTTTGGTCGACTAAGGATTTCTTTGGTTGACTACAGCCCTAGAAACTCCATTAACTGCATCTGTAATATGCTGCCAAACGTCCTTTTTTTTTAGGACCTGATACGCCACTATGTACTAGCCTACGCTTGAAAATAGGGCTGCACGATTTGGGGAAAATGTCATATATTGCGATTGCGATATGCGATTGCGATATAATAAACAAATGGTTTCATGAGTCAACTTGCTTGGTTCTAAAGTAAAATGCACACACAGATTAGTGATCATTCTGTGTATTAATGTATATTTCTCAACTCAAACTAGCAACAACAACTAAATGATTGATAGCACCTATAATGATCAATAAACCATTGATGTCTGGATAAAAATGACGACACCCCCCACATTTTAAACGTTAATTATAGCCATCCAACATTACAGTGATTCCATCTATACAATTGAAAGTTATCAACTTTTAAAATATTTATTAGGCTTAAAAAATAATAATAACAGCTTTTAAATTAAGTGAACTTCAAACAATCCTCACATAAACCCATAATAAATGCCATATTTACCTGTGCCCTTCCTGTCTTAACAGGTAGTATTGAGGATTTATATACCAGTGTTTCCCCTAGGATTTTTTTCAGGGGGGGGGGGGGGGGGGGGGGGGGAGACTGCTA